GGGTTTATACTTGGAGGATCATGGGACTTAGTAAGTAAGGTTATAAGTCCCCTAATTGGGGTTATAAGTACAATTACCTGAGTTATAACCCTCCTTACTAAGTCCGATGATCCTCTGAGTAGGGCTCAGTATAGGGATTAAGGGGTTCCTTAAAGGGTTTAGGGTTTAGGTTGTTTAGGGGGTTTGTAGGGCTCAGTATAGGGATTTAGGGGTTCCTTAAAGGGTTCAGGCTTAAGGTTGTTTAGGAGGGTTGATTTAGAGCTAAGGATAGGGGTTTAGGTGTCTTTAAAGGAGGGTTCCTCTAAGGTTCCTGTTTAGGGTTGAGGTTTGAGGGTTCCGTTAAGGTTCCGGCTTTACGGGTGTGGGGTATTGGGGGGTTTTAGGGATTTTAGGGATTTTAGGGTTGGTTCCTTTAAAGGGCTCTTCAAGGGCTCTTTAGAGATTCTTTAAGTGGTCTTCAAAGCTGTCCTTTCATGGGGGGTTGCGGGTATGGGTTTAGGGTTTAGAGGTTTAGGGTTTAGGGGCTTTAGGAGTTTAGGCTATAGGGTTTCGGGGTTTAGGTGCTTAGGGGTTTAGGGAGTTGGGCCTTTGAATGAGGTTCCTGTTCCTTCAAATGAAGTTTTTTGAGGGGCTCGAGAATGGTAATTTAGATGCTACTTTAAAGGGATCTTTAATGGGTGCAGGGTTTTTGTTTGGGAATTTCAGGGTTTAAGTTTTGGGGTTACGCCGAAAGGAGGTGTCTTTAAAGAAGGCTCCTTAAAACAGACTCCTAAAACACGGGGTTGCGTTTAGGGATTTGAGGGTGTGTTTAGGGTTTATGGCTTTAGGGTATCGGGTCTATAGGGCTCAGGGTTTAGGTTGGGGCCGAAAGGAGGCATCTATAAATAGGGATCCTCAGAGGATTCCTTACAGGCTTCCTTTTGGAGGAGGGCCATAGAAGTCTTGAGGGGGTTGCAGGGCTTCTTTACGAGGCACTTACACTGCTTTCTATGGCATAGGGTCGGATAGGGGTTGACCATGGGTGGTAGGGTTGCATAGGTTTCATAGGCGGTGAAAGCCCTTTCGGGTGTTTGCAGCGCTTTTCATAGGTAAAGGAAGGCTTTCGGGGCTTTACTAGAGGGCTTGGGGGATGTTCTAACCCTAAACCCTACACCCTAAACCCTAAACCCTAAACCCTAAACCCTAAACCCTAAACCCTAAACCCTAAACCCTAGCAGGTACGTGGTGGTTTGGCTGCATGGCATGCACCACGGCCCAATCCATGCATCCGAGCTTGAGAAGATGCAGAGGAGGCACCCGGCTTCCCTACTAGGCTTTAGGGTTTAGGGTTTAGGGTTCAGAGTGTAGGGTTTAGGGTTCAGGGTTTAGGGTTTAGGGTTCAGGGGCCTGAATCGTTGGAATAGAGGGTGCCTACAGAGGGTGCCTTTAAAGGGGCTCTTTCATGGGTGCAAGCAGGGTTTGATAGGTTTTCAATATCAAGGAATAATCAGACTAGGGGTCCTTTAGCAGGTTCTAGATGGGCCTTGTAGGTCCTTACATTGGGGCCTGAAAAATTGGGTTTAGGGTTTAGGGGTTTAGGGTTTAGGGTTTAGGGTTTAGGGCTGGGGTATGCTGCTATGCTGCTACCTTGTCACCCAAAGACTCCCAAACCGTACCGTACACCAGATTAAAAGGATTTGTCTAAGGTATCAGGAGGGGTTGAAGAGCCCCGCCCCTTACCAGAAAGCGATCACAACAAACAAGTGGGTAGTTCTCTAAAACAGGGTCCCTTTTGAGGTCCCCAATATAGTACGGCACTCCCGTAAGAGCAGCTGAGCGGGCAATCGTTAATAACCTGATATGGGTAGTTCTCTAAAATAGGGTCATTTTTAGGGTTCTTTTTATAAGAGTGCCGTACTATATTGGGGACCTAAAAAGGGACCCTAATTTAGAAAACTACCCATAGGGACCCCTGTCGAAATCGGTTTGCTTACAACTTACAACTTTTGAGGCCAGCCTAAAGAAACCATCATGAACCCGAAACCCTAGGCCCTAAACCCTATTGTCTGCATTGTAGTTCTTGTTTTTCTCCAGCCAGTAACTATTACGGCTGGGATCTTGTAATGGTTGCGAAACAAGGCAACCAAAAAGGAAGTAACATGCAGAGCAGGGCAGGGAAGAAAAGTTCTCTACAAGGCTCCGCCCTGCAACCCCCTAAACCCTAAACCCTAAACCCTAAAACCCTAAACCCTAAACCCTAAAACCCTAAACCCTAAACCCTAAACCCTAAACCCTCATTCAGACTGGCTCCTGTGCATGAATTCGCCAGCATTTCTATACGGATCAGAAGATCAAGGCTCGTACAGAACCCTAAACCCCATGCCCTAGTTCCTATTATAAACTCTAATATGAAATTTATAGGGACCCTACAAAATAGTAGGTTTTGGTAGGTTAAGGTAAGCCCTAAACCCTGAATCATCACGGGTCTTTCTTTTCCTGCTCCTCCTTCATGGAGCTCTCAACCCGAAAGCGTACAACTCGAATGTCACGGGCTATGCTTGCTACCGAGAGACTGAACTCAGATGAGGGTTTAGGGTTCAGAGTTTGAGCTTGTGCTCTAAACCGTAAACCTTTAGCCCTAAGCCTAAAACCCTAAGCCATCTATGCTTCATTTTTGCATTCTGGGGCTTGGTGTTTGAAGTGTGGACAGTTGGAGCCTGTTGGCTTGACCAGACTTCGTTTATAACTTCTGCTGCAAATCAGGATTTTGGGCGTTTAGAGTTTAGGGCTTAGCGTTCATTTGGGTTTGTTGTTAGGGTTCAGGGTTTAGGACGCAAGTGAGATGCAGTGCCAGTGGCATCAAAGTGGTGGTGGTGCCGCGAGCAACGGTGGTGATGATGCTGTTGACGCTATGGCCTGGTGACAGACGCAGCGACATCGATGCCGACGGTCTCGATACTGACTGGAGCAACAGCAAGACACCGTGAGGGCGTTATGGTGTAGGCAAAGGTTGTGCCGATGGTGCTGTGCATGCTGCTGTCGTTGATGGTCCACCATCGCTTACTCTGAATCGCAGTTCTGGTGATCTTCATGCCGATGATGATGATGACAATCATGGCGATAGTGATTGAACTGATGGGGAATGCTGAGATGTTGAGGATGATGCGGTTGACGATGTGAGCGTTGAGGCTAAAGAGTATCATGATGAACATTATGCTGATGACGAGTGATAGCCATGCCGATAGTGACATTGATGGTGCTGGCACCGTGCATGGTTTCTGGTTCCACCAGCACCAGCCTACGCTTGCGCAATCTGCAGCGTGAGGCTTTGGCATCGTGTGATCTACTTGGTGCCCCTGAGCCCACCTCCGTCGGAGGATGGACACTTGTCGGAAGCAGTCCCTGTATTAAGTTGTGCTGGCATGGAAGTGTCTATTCACAACAACAGACCTACTACTACTACTACTACTACTACTACTACCACTACTACTACTGCCAGTACTACAACAACAACAACAACAAC